CATATAACACGTGATTTTATAGCTGCAAAGTATCACGTGTGCTGGGGACGTGTCACCACTGGAGTTTCTTCCGTTAACCTTGAGGATGCACCCTTCTTTACTGCTACAACGGGAACAGTAGTAATGAATTTAATCGTCTTTCTTTGTTACTTGCTGTAAATTTCGAATAAACATTTATTAATTAATTAATTCTTGGATTCAATGCAGTTTGTTGACACACGAGAATATCGTAAATCAAGAAAATGAAGATAAAACAAGAGTTAGAAACAGAACATTCGGACTATACAACTGAACGAAACGAAAAGAAATTTGAAGTCGATTTAAAGAATTTCAAGAAAGAATTTAATACAGATGTGAAGTGTTATCAAACAATTAAATCGGAACCTTTAGAGGTGAGTGAAAAATACTTTTCTATAAGATTGCAGTGTTGATTTACGGACGAGAAACAACTTAAATGCTAAAATATAAAGTGGGAAATAGAAAAACATATTTTTTAAAACAGTATATTTGTATAAATAATGACCCCACGAGCTTTAAACTGAGCTACGTCATTTTCGATTTCAAGAAAATGTCATTTCGGCTGTTTACTGTGAAATTTGACGTTTTAGCGAGTGTTTGTCTTCCCTGAATCTAGGGGAACAATTATGTAAATGAGAATCGAAAACTGGATAAACTGCAGCCAATATGAACGATACTTATTTTTTAATTACGTTTATGAAATAAGAGAGCATTTATAAACTGTAAAGTATTTAATCGATCAATCTAATTGTTTAATAAACTTAACGGTGTTAATTGACAGCAGTGATATATTAACCTGGATTACTGTCAATAATTGTAATAATACGGTTAAGTCCATTGCCCTATTGAAATCGATAAAACAGACAAATCAACGGATACGCGTTATAAGTTCATGGAACCAGGGCAAATTTGAATTAGGGGAGCGCCACGTGAAGTGTTGACTTCAGACATTTTCCTTCCGAAACTAAAAGGGAGTGGAGGGGTTGATGTTTACTGGACGTCCGTTTATTTTATTTAATTTTATATAGTTTATGCATTTTATTATATTTATTTAAAAATTTCTTGTATGTTTTGTTCTACTTATTGTATCTATTATTCATAAAGTTATAAATGTTTAACGGGGTGAGAATTATTGAACGTAGGAAGAAGAGGTAAAATTACGGAATCTTGAATAAAGCGGTACAATGTAACATATTTTTATTTCGTTTCAGATAAATACTTATGAAAATTCGTTTCCAACAAATAACACAAATGATTCCAATATTAGGAGTAATTCCGGTTTTAACAGTGAAATAGGTAAGAGGCTTCATGCTTTTAACACTATAAAAATATGTTTCTAGTGATTAGAAGGCTAGTTAAAGAGTAAATATAAATAAATCCATATTTATATAAATGTGAGCCCGCGAATTTTAGGGCGCGAACTCGCTTAAAAGACTTTTAAAAATTAGTTTTTTCAAAAGTTGATCGTAAACATCCGCCGACAAAAAATACTCTCCGTGCAGAGTATCCGATCGGATGTCATCGTTAGTATCAACAATCCACTGGGAAAATTGACACTTAGGTGTCAAAGAATGCAAGTCATTGTCAACAAAGGACGATCTCGTGACCCCTTTCCCACAATAATGCTATAAAATCGACACTCACCGGAAGCTCGACACGGGAAGTTATTCTTGAGCTAATGTGCATTTTAGTCTCCTGTCCCGATCAAGTTCGAGAAGAAGATCGAAGAAGATATTGAGGACTTTCACTACTTCCATAACCGAACTGATCGTCGCATATAGCTCTCCATCCACACATAGAGGCAATTATGAACGGCCTGAGAACTCTCTCTCTCTCTCTCTCCGACAATAGGCATGGCTGCTATAGACTAGCCCAATTGTAGTTACGAATTATTGTAAACGCATTTAGCCCTATATTACCTATATATATAAATGTGTTTAGCTTTGTATATCCTCTTATATTTTATAGTTAGTTATAATCATTAAACCATTATTTTGTTATGTTAACGTGTCATCTTACCCCTCGACCTCCACACTCGCTTTTGCCCTCCTATCGCCACCCGACGACATCGATGTCGGGTTTTAACAACCCGTGCTCATTAAATAGTTAATAGGGCACCCCCTATAGCCCCCGGCTTATCTCACATAAATATTAAGTTAATAGCATTTAATAATTTTTGCAAATATTTTGTGACGGAAGGGTCGGCAATGCCTACATCAGGATTGATACCGTTGCTCCACGTTAGCGGTCGCGTACGTAAGCGGTCGGATTCGTAATACAGAATATTCAAGAGACAGCGTGTTTGTAGGAATGCACTCAAACATCCGTTTATTTATGTAAACTATTTACACACACGTAGGTTTTCATGCTCATCTCTGGTAATTTTTAAGGTCTATGTCGAATAGCGATTTATTTTGCAAGGTTTCCGGTGACACATCCGGAAGAGTTGTGTCAGATGACAGATTTTACCAACGAAACACGTTTCCTTTAACAATACCGTTGTGTTGGTTATATATTTAATACTATTGGATGGAAATATTTTAATTCAAATAACGTGACTTCCGATTTGCATCGGATGATCTTATATAGTTAATCTGGACCTTCTGCCACTACGATTTCCACATCTGGTCTCGAATTTTATTTAACTTTTTTCTCGAGAAATATGAAAAAACAGACGGACAAACAAACGGACGAAAGTGGGAATTTATAAGTTTACAATTTTTTTCAAATTTCAGCCCAAACATCTATGACAAACAGAAACTCTTTTCTATCATTCTAGCAACACGAAGTCAGTTAAGTTTTGTTGCGACACGTAACTATTATGAGCCCTCTTTATTAAAATAATTATATATTCGAAATTTACTTAAAAATTTAGAAGAAAAGATTATGTATTACCGAAATTGATGTTATTAAATTTTGGTAGTTAAAAATTGAGGAGCGAAGAGATAAAGTGGGTCGTGTGTCATAACTCGAGTAGGGTCGGAATTAATAAAGATTATACTCGTTATTTACATTTATAATTTTTAAACAACTTATCCCTACCCTTAATATTAAGCGTTTTGACATTTTAGATTATTAGAATTAAAATTAGCTTTATTTATATATTTATTTATTTAATTCTTTGCTTAGAATTTTCTATAATAAAAATACTTTGTAAATTCCAATACAGACTGTAAGAAAGAGGAAATAAAGGAGGAGAAATGTGACATTAAACTAGGCATAAAATCAGAATGTAAAGTTGTTTTAAAAAGATTGAAGTTTGAAGTAAAAACTGAAGATTATAAACGAGTTCATCTCCCACATAAATACGAAGATTTAAAGGTAAGTGAGACAAACTTTCAAATATATAACACAGTGTTTCTCAACGGAGGCGATATCGTCCCCATGTTGGCGTTTTTCCATGTTGAGTGGGCGATTAGTAACAATTTATATTTTGGGGGCGAAAAACTATTTTCTAGGCGATATAGTATAACATTATATTAAGAATAATTAGATATTTTATTCGTTATATCGTACAATAATTAAACAAATAACATTATACTAGTCACTAGTCTATTCGATGCAGTACGAATTTGGCGTTAGCCTTGGCTTCTGGCATCGAATTTTTGAAGTGAAGGGGGCGATACTACGTAACGGTTTTATTGAAGGGGGCGACGATTCGTTTGAGGTTGAGAAACACTGATATAACGCATTATAAGTTAAATTTGCATATTACTTTTTGTTTATTATTAAAAGCGAAGGTAAATATAAACAATTTTATAGAATTTCTAGCTGTTACTCGCGACTTCGCCCGCGGAGGTTTTGCAAGCAAACCCCACTTATATTCAACATTTCAATAACCATAGTAATTGTTAGATCTATACAACACCTACCGCTGAAGAGAATTGCCGAGAATCAAACGAACTATCTTCAATTTGATCAATTTTCTGGAGCGTTTACAATCGTTCTATAATCGAACCAATATGAAATAACAAATTTGAATTCAAAACGGATCGAACATTTTTAATTAAAATCGAAATAGATAAAATTATTTATAACAATGTCTGAAATGTTATCAATTTAATGCACCTAAGTACTCAATGAAGACTAAACGTAGTTGAAAACAAAAAATCGTATCTAAAATAGTACAGTAGAAGCCGTTTTCCGGTTAAGATTTAATGCTCTACCTCTCCCCCCGCGGGGGAATTTCTAAAAATCCTTTCTTAATGTGAATTCCCATGGCATACCCTACTAAAACGCATATAAAAAGAAAAAATCGCATCTAAAATAATACAGTAGAAACCGTTTTTCCGGTAAAGCATTAATGCTCTCCCTCATCCCCCCGCGGGGAAATTTCAAAAAAATCCCTTCTTAGTGTGCATTGCCATCGCTTACCCTACTAAAATGCGGATAAAAACAAAAAATCGCATTTAAAATAGTACAGTAGAAGCCGTTCTTCCGGTTATCCCTCCCTCTCCCCCCACTTGAAAATTTCGAAAAATCCCTTCTTAGTGTGCGTTTTCATGACGTACCCTAACTGTGTACCAAATTTCATTTCTCTAGGTCCAGCGGTTTGGTCTGGGCGATGATGAATCAGTCAGTGAGTCAGTCAGTCAGGACAAGCAATTTTATATATACTGTATAGATTTATAACAATGCTTGAAATGTTATTAATTTAATACACTTAAGTACTTAATGAAGACTAAACGTAACAAAAAATCGCATGTAAAATAGTACAGTAGAAGCCGTTTTTCCGGTTAAGCCTTAATGCTTTTCCTCTCCCCCCGCGGGGGAATTTCGAAAAATCCCTTCTTACCCCCGTATTCACCAACACGAGTTAGAGTTAGAGTTAGGGTTAACTCTCGAGTTACTGGTAAATTGGTATTCACCAACTCCGAATCTCGAGTCAAACACAATAACCCTAACTCTAACTCTAGAAAATCGGCGAGTAGACGATAACTCTAGGTTTGACGCCTGCGCAAAGCGGTCTATTTCAGAGAAAAATGGCGACATTCGACGAAGACGAAGCCGAGATGCTAGAAAATCTGAAATATTTAGATTATATAGATCGTATGGAACGAAGAAGTCGGCGGATTATTTCTCCAAGAAGAAATGACCTCGAACAATTGGACGATTACGACTTTCTATGTCGATATCGTTTGCCAAAAGAGAGCGTAAGAAACCTATTAGAACGAATTGGTTTCCTCCTCCTGTTTTAAATAATTCGGCTTTTTTTGTGCCTGTTCTTTCACGGCTTTCTTTTTTAAATTCTTATAACAGTCCAATAACTGTTTGGTTTTTCTAAGGGTGACACCCGGGATACCATTGAATTCCTTTGTTAGTTCTTCCCATGTGCCTCTCTTCTGTTTGGAAGAAATCGCATTTGTTTTCTTTTTTTCAATGATCGATTTATATTTTTCGACTAATTCAAGTAGAATTTCCTTCTCAAAATTAGAAAAGTTACGGCGTGCACTGCTTTCCATTTCACTTTCCGCCATTTTCTACACGTGTTTCTATTCTATTCTATTCGTCTCCTCCCTGGTTCATACACGTGTTTGCTTTCAACCAATCAAAACTCTGCTTACGAAAGAAGACTTGTTTAATCTCGAACTCAGGATTGTTTTAAAATATTAACTCTAGAGTAGCGAAACTCTAGAGTTAAATTTTTATCTGAATACGAAAGAAGAGTAACTCGTAATCTGACTTCGAGTTACATCTAAACTCGAGTTCGTCAACTCTCTGTTTAACTCGTGTTGGTGAATACGGGGGTTAGTGAGAGTTTCCATGACGTACTGTGTACCGAATTTCACCTCTTTAGGTTCAGCGGTTTGCTCTGGGCGATGATGAATCAGTGAGTCAGTCAGTCAGGACAAGCAATTTTATATATATAGATACTGTAAATTTAGGTGTATTTTCTATTAAACAACGATATTAATTTTATGGTTTTCTTCACTTTTTTGCCACGATTAAAGTACCTTTATTTTATGTTTTACTGCTTTAATGGTTTCCATTACCTTGTCAAATATTATATCATGATTTCTATTCGTTACCCTTACTGATAAATCAGTTTTCACTGTTTATAAAGTTATGCACGTATAGTCTCGAATGTGTTTTTTGTCGCGTATACTATAGTACTGTAGCACTGTATAGTCTCGAATTGATAGTTCTTGTGTCGCCATCAGGGCTGTGGAATCGCGTAAAAATCTACCGACTCCAACTCCGACTCTGACCAAGGGAGGACTTGTTAACGAAAGAGACCCGGAAATTCTGATGTCATCACGTGACCCAGAATAAAAGATTTAATAAATAGAGTTCTAATAAAGATAGAACGTAGAAACTTTTTATTTCAAAGCTAAAAGACTCCTCTAAGTAACATATAAATATGTATTCGATAATTTTTACTTCTCCGACTGTTACATATAACAAAGGAAAAGTGTAGCGCTCGGTCAAAAAATGTCCCCTTTCAAATTTTTACATTTTTGGACTCGGGACACCTTGAAATTTCGAGATATGCAAAAGATTCAAGGTTTTTTTCTATATGTGTGGATGTTAGACTGTATGTGGGGGGCATGATTTTGTTCACCCTGTTTGAAGCCTAATAATTTCTGTGGTCACAGGTCAGAATCGGAGTCAGATAGTTTAACAGAGGAGTTAGTTATTTAAGTCAAAGTAATTGAACTAAATTATGTCCCCATATACATTCTAACATCTTAAGCGTGAACATTCGGGTTTTACTGTACTATTATAAAATGGCAAAATAGCTTACTTTGAGGGTAAAGACGAGTTTTATTTTATTTTTAAAATTTTGAACGCTAATAACGAGTAAAATATTCATTAAGAGATATGACACATGACCCCTTTTATGTCTTCACCCTGTTGACCTTTAATTAAGAACCAAAATTTAATAGTATTAATGCCCCTTTATACGCAAGCTACAGTGCCACATTTCGTTTCTTAAACTATACCCATTCTGAGATATTGTTTAATATCTCAGAACAGAAAATAAAGAAATTAAACAAATTAGACGTCAACGGGAATTTTTCCCCTTTTATTGACTTTTTTGAGGGGTTCGGGAGGTCTCCAAACGTGTAGATTTGCAAAAAAAAAAAAAAAAACTGGAAAGTCAAATTTGACACGATTCCAATACTTTTCCGTTTTATATACATAACAAGTTGGTAAGTAAAAAGGAGTCGGAGTCGGCAGATTTTTTGACAACTCCAACTCCGACTAAAACATGAAAACTCCACGACTCCGACTCGTACTCTACAGCCGTGATCGCCATACAAGGACTATCCCAGATTAGAACAATTATACCTCATATCCCAAATCTGCATTGCCACATTCAAACGTCACTAGGCTCAACGTATTTTATGGTGGAGCTCCAAATTTTTATTTACGAAATTCTAGGGTTCGGCAGAACAAGTTGGGAACCTCTGGGGCCGTATTCTGGTCATCGTCTCTCGTCTGTCGTCTCTCACAAGCCAATCGCTGATTGGCTAATCATTTGTTTACGTCTCAAGAGATCATTGCGTCTCTGTAAACGCTATTCTGGACAACTTTTCTCTCTTCTCTTCTCTCGTTTATCAGAGACGAGTGGATAGTTGTCTTTCGACCGGCCTATCGTCTTTCGCCTCCATTTCGTTATATCCAATATGGACGACTGGATGCTAATCGTGCAATTTCATTGGTTAAAATTCTATACTGTTGCGCGCGCAGATAACCCGAACATGTATAATCAACCGAATAGAATCGTGACGTGAACAACAAAGACGAGATCGTTACGAACGACCAGAATCGCCACTGTGTATGAGAGACGAAATTCGTCTCTCGCTTTGACGTCATTCGTCGATGAAAGAAGAGACGAGAGATAAGTTACCCGAATACGGCCCCTGGTCTAATATGTTGTCCAGTGGATAAAATCACTGAACGCTGTTGATTGTAGGTTCGTGCTTGGTGAATGAGCTGGCCACTTGGAGCTTTCGGGTTTCTTCACGTTTCTAACACCAAAAGAGATGCCAATTTTCTCTTATGAAACACTCCTGGGATGATCCCCCTTTAGCAGATTGCCCACATATCGCATTGCCGTATACAACCGTAAACCAAACCGAAAAGAAAAATAAATAACTTATACAATACACGTAAGAAATAATTTAATTTTAAGACACTTTTCTAAAGAACAACACATTTATGATATACATAAATATTTTAATGTATAACATTTTTTTGTCTTGTTTCTACATTTTTTAGCCTGTCAAGAACGAATTCTTCACTCCGGACGGAAATTTTCACAGGAATGAAACGAACGTACTAAGTAAGTAACGTGTTACAAGTTCATTTGTTAAATGTTCGTTTTAAGATCAGAATTTTACATATAATATTAGCGCTATGCGACATTTTAATGATATTTAATTGAATTGACTGGCTCACATTCCAGATTTACATCTGATAGAAAATGTTCGTTGATATTTGATTTACATTTTGTGTAAGGACATACGGATGTTTCCTAGTAGTTTTGATAACTTTTTTGTAGTTCTTTATGAACAAAATTTGAAGACATTATGAGAAATACTTGTAAAATAGTTAATAACAATATGTCTATACTGTATATATAAACGAGAATATTTGTTTGTTTGTTTGTTCGTTATACACTCCTAGGCCGTTTGATCAATCGCTACGAAACTCGGTAGTTACGTTCAAATGCTACTAAGTTAAGTAATGTCGTACTGTATATCCCACTTCGAAATATCGCATGCACTTTTATAAGTCAGTTAAATTTCTTACAATCGCTTTTAGCTGAGTTACACGTACTGTACCATCATCTATTGGCAAAATGTTAACAAAACAATCAACAAAATATACGGTAATTTTTACAAAAACGGATATAATTTTAAAAACTATATATTATATTCACTGAATTACTGCGACAATGATATCGCGCGAAATAGATGCGCCGATACGCCATTAGGGTGCGACTATGCAGACGCGAGCGAGCGAATTTTCCAAGCGAGCGAGAATATGTGGCGAGAAGAGGCGAGACGCGATAAATATCAAAACCTGCCAGATATGTGCGAGAACCAGAAATTTGCTCTCGCTAGCGTTATTTCTCGCTTCTCGTTTATGCATGGTTTTCCTTTGCGAAAACTAAATCGCTCGCAACCTCTCGCTCGCTCTAAATTCGCGTCTGCATAGTCGCACCCTTACTGCGACAGGTAGCATATCGCGACTACCGAATGGCCGAGCAGTCAAGTTGGCAGCCTACCGCTCTGGGGGAGAGACGGGTTCGAATCCGGACCTATCGATAAATCCCAAAGGATATTTCGAGGGCGTGGACCATCGGGATATGTCAGACACCGTCTTTCACTAATTGTCAGGCCCCATTGTGGGCCTGGCAGAACCTATAATGGGCTTGCTAAAAGAAGCTCTCTTAGTGCCCACCCGGCAGAAAGAGTTAAAAGGGAAGAAAGGTAGCACATAGCAATTGCCTGCATGAAGTGTAGTAGTGTTTTGCTGTGGTACATCATACTTTTTCCTGTCAGCAACAGAGTGGTACTGGTTATGCATCTAACTTCGTTCGTTGAAATTTTTTGTATTGAAATAACATGACTTGCAGTACAAATTGGAAGTTTATATATAGGTAATCTAGTCCTATTCCTCTTATTATATATTATAAAATTATATTAACTCTTTCGAACAAAAAGATAAAGATCCAAAAATCTGAAGTCAACAGTTTTCGCATTTGCGCGCCTCTCGTAAAATTGCAACTTATTCTTTTATGCGAAGATTCCGTCTTTTTAAAAGCAGGCGAATTTTTCTACGTTTCTCTGCTCAGACAAAGTTTATAAACAATTGGGAATGCTAATACCGAGTAAAATCTTCATTATTTCTGACCCTACGCATGATATCACACATGTACTGTACAAACCTGGTACCCGGTTAATCTGTACAACTAAAATTTAATAGCATTTAACGCCGGAAACACAAACCATACAAAATTTCAGAAATTTTAAAGAAAAATTCTTAAAATTATTAAGCATCAAAAATGTTTCACATAACACGCAGATACACATACATACATACATAGAAACAACCGCGAAGTCTTTTTTTCGAAATTTGAAGGTCCTCTTCAGTCGAAAAATGTAAAAGTTTTGGCGGTGATATTCTTAAACGACCGCCATGTATGAACGACTGTTGTATGTAACAGCCAGGAAAGTAAACGTACAGTACATAATGAAGGAATGTTTGTTTTTTTCATTAAGCACAAGAATTACTACGAAAATTTATCACAAGTATTAAATCATGAGACTTATTTGGAATTCCGATAAAGGCTCAATCCAGCAGCAATCGATTCAACAAACTAACATGATTTACTTTTAGAAACAACAATTAAGCTATTAACTTTATATTATATCATTAATTATTAATTTTGTAGCTTAATAATTAATGATATAATATAAAGAAAATTTTGTAAATAGATAACGAATATTGTGTTTCAGTTTAAAGTAAATAAATTACTTATTGTATTTAACTTTTTGATTTCAGTTAGGGAGAAAGAAGAGAGTGAAGAATACGATATTCAGCACAATTCAGAAAGACAAAAGGATAATAAATGTAATGCAAACAAGACGAAGTTCGTCCCTACAAGTATCAAATACAACAACAAAATCCAAGGAAAGATTAAAAGGAAATACTTCAGAATAACGCGTTCATCTTACTCGAAACAAAATCACAAATGTGATTTATGTAAACAGACTTTTGTAAACAAGAAAATACTACAAGCGCATTTGAACTTTCATATCGGAAAAAAACCATTTAGCTGCACAACCTGCAATCAGAAATTTTCCTGGCAATTTCTATTGAGAAGACACATGATGAAAATGAAACACATCACCGAAAAACAAAGGAAAATGGATCGTACAAAAGTTCGTTCGCTGTCATTATCAAAAAATCGTAAAGAATGTATGCAGGTTCGATGTGACATTTCCGATAAGTTACTTAATACAAAGGGCCGATTGGAGACGCATAACAGAACACTACAACCAGTATCTCATTCTTGTAAGATATGTAAAAAAGAATTTAAAACGAAATCAAAATTGAGACAACACCAGCGTACGCATAGTGAAGATCGACCTTTCAAATGCGATATATGTGAAAAGGGTTTTAAAACGAAAAACCATTTAAAAAGGCATCGTGAAACTCACAGTGATGAATGTAAGTATTCTTGTCAGGTGTGTAACAAAAGTTTTAAAACAAAATGCTCTTTGACGAATCATAAAATCGTTCATAATAAAGATTTAAATCATTCTTGTCAGATTTGTAACAAAAGGTTTAAATCAGAAGTGCATTTGAGAGAGCACGTTGTTATACATACCGATGAACACAAGTACTGTTGTCAGATATGTAACAAGTATTTTAAAACAAAACGCTATTTGAGACGACATGAAAGAACTCACAAAGATAGAAGTGATAAGTATTTTTGTGACGTATGTAAAACAGCATTTAAATCCAGATATAGTTACATTAAACATCGTTTTGTTAAACATCAAAATATGTTTGTTTGCGTATATTGTAATAAGTCATTCAAAACCAAAAATTTGCTGACAGCGCATTCGAAAACTCATATTGAAAAATGTAATATCTGTAAAAAGAAGTTTTCGAGTAAACACTCTTTAATCAGTCATCAGAAAATTCATCTTGACATAAAACCGTTTGTTTGTGAGATGTGTAACAGACGTTTTATATCAAATTCTGAGTTAAAACGTCACCAAAGTTCTCACAATAAAGACAATCTTCCTTACGTTTGCGAGGTATGTAAGATGGGTTTTTACAAGAAATCTCACCTGTATAGGCACCGACCCGTTCATGAAAAAGAGGAGCATCTTTGCATCCATTGTAAAGGCAGATTTAAAACAGAAATTAAATTGAAACTGCATTTACAGTTTTCTTGTTCAAAAATACACCCCAAACAATTACCTTACCAATGTAACATCTGTAAACGGACTTACGTAAATAGTTATGATTTGGAGCAACATCTACTCGCTTACAAGGATCAAATACACTTCTGTTGCGACGTTTGTAAGAGGAAATTTACGTCAAAAGTCGAATTCGAAACTCATCAAAAGACTGCTCATCCTCCGGGAGGAAAGTGTAAATGCCAAATTTGCAATAAGACATTTCGGAGAGAAATTGATTTAAATAGACATATGAAAATAAATACCAATTCAGGCGTTAAGAAATGTGATGTTTGTGGTAAGAAATTCTGTTTGCTTTTTAAATTAAAACTTCACCTGCAAAGCCATCTTTCAGAATAAAATTTCTTGTGTGAAATACGTACTTTTTATACTAATATACTAAATATATTATACAGGACAATAGGTAAAATGTTTAGATTTTACTTATTGCTTTTATGACTGTTATTTCGTTGGTAATAAGCGTGCAATTTGAAAAAAACGGTTGATCTATTTTCCACTGTTCTTCTGTGTTTCTTTATTTGCGTAATCTCGGGAACGAAATAAGATAGATGAAAGTCGTGACAAGATATGGAAGGCTTCGGGCTATAGGTCCAGATTAACTAATGGGCAGTTCCAGTTTGCAACGAAAGTCACTGTATCACGTTCTAAGATGTTTTTTCTGAACTTTTTGTTCGTTTATCGCTTTATATGTAATGATTAATTAAGAATAAATAATTTTCGAATGATTACTTAATGTGTATTTAATTTAGACCTAAGATCGACCTGTAACCGAAAATATACAATATCAAAGTACACTGTGTTGAGTGTATGGAAGAGGGAAGTGAGGTGTCTGTTACACAAGCAAACTAATAACTAATACGTATTTGTAGTTGTATGGTTTACTTTTAACTTCGGAGAAAAATAAATGAAAATATTAACCACTTAATTATTTGCATTTATTTTCTAATTTTAATAAACCGCCTTTTACGTGTGTTTCGCATTTAACACTGCATTAATTTCGTTCTAAATTTGTGCACTTTGATTATATGAATTTTAATTGAGGAATTTCGTGTTCGTTGGTTAACAGCCTCCCACATGCATCCTTGATGACCAGGGGTTTTGTTCGATATGTGTTGTAGTCTTAATGTCTCTGAAGAAATCTCTCACTTTTCGCTTCTTATAATTATTCTTTGCTTTCTTAATTAATTAATAAAATTTGTGAGAAATTTCCTTTTCTGCTGTCTAATAGTCTTATTAGAATGTTTTGATGCCTTATCCTAATGGTTTTTGATGTGTAGGTCTTCTGGGTTGTCCAGCCAATTCATACTTGCTTTTTTTTTATTTACCATTTCTTCGCATATGCTGTTAAACCACGTCCTTGTTTCTTTTGGTCTGTATTCTATAGGTAAGGTTTTTATGACTATTTCTAAGATGGATGTGCTATTTCTATTTCTATTGCTTTCTAGGATTGATCCATTTCCATCTCTTTCATCGTATTCAATTCTAGAGCCTTTCCTATTTCTTTCTGGTATTGTCGCCTGGTGTCATTACCTTTGAGTATGTACAGTACATCGTATGAAAAACGATGGTTTTGCTTGTCCTTCGTCATTACCTGGAGTTTCATTTTCATGCTGGCTCTCAACAGGAAGTGATCTGTTCCTGCTTCTGCTCCTCTGAGACTACGTGTTTTTTTATGCTATTACGATATCTCCGGTTAATGAGTATATGATCTATTGGTTCCTAGTTTTGCCATTAGAAGATACCCATGTTCGTTTGTGAATGTCTTTTCTAGGAAAATTAGTTCTATGGATTATCAGATCTCTAGTGCTGGCTAAGTTAATAAGTCGCTCTCTATTATCATTGATTGTCTCATGCAGGCTCTCCTTTCCTATGGTGGGTTTAAACACTTTAAAGCACCGATCTTTGACTATTTTAGCCTTAAAATGTTCAAGAGAGTAGATATTGTAAACGGATATCCAATATTAAGTGTATACTTCAACATTTTCCTCTGTGAACTGAAGGGTAGAAAAGTTAACCTTTAGTGGAACTCCTCCCCTCTTATTATTTGCTTGACGAAATGTCTCTTTCAGTTGCAACCATTTTTTCAGTTGCAACTTTTCTGACAAAGAGTATATTACCGAAATTGATGCAATTAAATTTTGGTAGTTAAAAGTCGAAAAGCGAGGAGATATTTTGTATTAATTAAACAACAGTCGAAATTTTACGGATTTCTTCTTTTTTTCGCGATAAAAGTCCGAAGAATGGAAACATTAAGTGTTTAACTTAGGCTCATTCAGGGCTTTGTCGAGCCCAGAATAGATCAGGCCTGAAATGAAAATGGCAACTTGATAGAGTCGGCCTTTAGATTTGTAAAGGAATAAATTAAATTTTTAAGACCCATCGAAAGAGCGATGGTGGCAAACAGTTTATTTATATAAGTTAATAACAATATGAACATTTTTATTATGGAAAGAAACGCTTGTGAGGTTGCCGACGGGGTAAAAAAAAGGAAGAGGACAATTAAAATAAAGTCAACATAAACGAAAAATGTGGGTGATGGTGGGCAATAGGCGGAAGAGCTTGACAATTTAACTCGCTTATTTTGAGCCGAAGTGAATGCTTTATCCAGCGAATAAATAAATCTTCTCGAGTAAATCCGCGTTGTCGGACGAAATAAAAGTATGAAGTGGAAGAAGGAAAATTGTACTTGAAATTAGAGTTTGTAAAGAATTTTATTCCAGAGTTTCCTTTTTCCATTTATTATTTTCTTCTCTTCAAGTAAAATTATACCTGATTAGACCGCTAGAAAAATCTATCTTCTGTAGAAAATGACAACGTATCTTGAACCTCACCAAAGGATGTTTATCTAACTGCTAGACAAAATTGCAGTATATGAGACTACCTTACTCACGAGAAATTGATCACCTTAACAATTCGGTCATACACTTATACACTTGACAAAATTATTATTGTTTCCGTAAAATATTGTATTATATACAGATTGTATTTACCAGTGTTTCTCAACCTCTAACGAATCGTCGCTCCCCTTCACCACAAAATTCCGATGCCGAAAGCCAAGGCTAACGCCAAATTCGTACTGCAATGAATAAACTAGTGACTACAATAATGCTATTATTAATTAATTATTATATGATATAACGAATAAAATATTTAATTATTCTTAATATAATGTTTTACAATATCGCCCAGAAAATTGTTTTTTACTCCCCAAAATATAAATTGTTACTAATCGCCCCCTCAACACAGAAAAACGCCCACTAAGGGGCGATATCGCTCCCGTTGAGAAACACTGGTATATACAGATAATCTCAACTTATTTTTTTTATCGTGAAACTCTTTACACTTTAACTTTATATCATAATTTCAGTTCGTTCCGTTACCGATAAATCGGTTTTTACTGTTTATAAAGCTATAAATAACTAGCACGTATATACTCTCGAATAGAGAGGTCTTGTGTCGTCATACAAGGACTATTTCAGACTAAAACAATTACACCCATCTAATATCCCAAATCTGCATTGGCACATTCAAAAATCATTAAACGCAACGGATTTTATCGTATAACCCTAAATTTTTATAAGTGCAACCTTTTCGCGAAACACAAGTTGGGCATCCCTGGTCTATTAAGTGATCCACTGCATAAAATCACTTAAAACTGTTGATTGTGGATCGGTGCCTGATCAATGGGCTACCAAGTAAAGTTTTACAGGTTTCTTCATGTCTGTAACACCTAAATAAAGACCAGTTTTTGTTAGCACTCCCAGGAAAATCCCCTTTAGCAGATTTCCCACATGTCGCATAGCCGTATACAACCGTTTACCAAACCGAAAAGAAAAAGAATTAATTTCTACAATACATGTATGAAATAATTTGATTTTAAGGCACTTTTCTAAAGTACAACTGTTGAGTATTATTGTTTGACCGATTACCGCACTTCCTCTCTGTTATACGTAACTACCAGAAAAGTAAAAATTAAACATTTCTAACTGTTATGTCGGCAGTTATAAATGTTTGAAACTTAAAATCTAGAAATGAATTTTTCGATTTTAAAATATAACTTGGATGGCCCAAACGGACAATTTTTATTGTCATTATTTCAACAAAAAAAAATCCAAATCAGCAGACAATTGGATCTGTAGTGGTTTGTTGGCGTTTCGGTTGTGAAGAAAACGTAAATTTAGTGTGTGAGGATGAAAAAATAATAACTGAAAAGTACGAAGAGCTGCGGAACATCAATTTGACTTAGTTTGTGCCAAAATAAATGAAGGCACAAATTAAGTACACAGAGACTGAAAACTCCCTACGCCATTTATGTTATCGATTTTAAAGTCACGTAATAAATTTAAACCAATCACAATGAACAACTGTGCCAAACTCGGTTACAAGGAACCGCCGTCGAATACTTATAGCGTCATGTTTTTCTGACTTCACGAATGTTTTGGTTAAATTTATTTTTTGAGATTTATATTATTTCTAATTATAGATATTTGTAAGTGGAATACAAAGAATATAGAAATAACGATTGTGTACATGAATATATTTATTTTAATACTGTATTTAATACAATCTGTTTTCTAAATGTCTTCTTGCATATTTTGCATTGATGCATTTTCCTCCTGGGAAATGAACATACTCTTGATGAGTTTGGAATTCGAAACTGTTTTATGTCTTAATAAATTTTCTATTGATTGATTAACACGGTTTTACTTTTAAATTCCTTATTACAAACATTACACTTTTCAATGTTAACTTTTGAATGTTCTTTTAGCGTGTTTTTAGTCATAAATGGCATGCTACAAACATTGTATAAATACATATTTTCATGTATAATATAACGTCTGAATAAGGCAGTTGGATTGGTATAACGTTTTTTACATATGTCACAAACATACTATTTTCTATCGCTATGACTAACTTTATGACGTCGGAAATAAGGTTTTGCTTTAAAATATTTGATACATATATCTCAAAAATATTTGTATTCATCGCTGTGTATATTAACATGCCGTTTTAAACCAACATTTCGTTTAAAACGTTTGTTACATACCTGACAAGTATAGTTAAATTCATCATTATGAACTACTTTATGATGCCTTAAATAATGTTTTGTTTTAAAACGTTTGTTACATACCTGACAAATATACTTAAGTTCATCATTATGAGTTTCGTGATGCGTTTTTAAAACCTTTTTTCGTTTAAAACTCTTATTGCAAATATCGCATTTGAAAGGACGGTCTTCACTATGCGTTACTTCATGATCCATCAATTTATAGTTACTCTTAAATTCTTTTCCACATATTTTGCAAATATGATGTATGTGTATTCTCTTGTGTCTTGCTATATTGCCCTTAACAATTTTATTACATACCTGACAAGTATAGTAAAATTGATTATCATGAACTAATTTATGAAGTTCCAAATTCTGTTTTGTTTTATAACTTTTGTTACATACCTGACAAGAAAAGTTACGTTCATCACTATGAGTTTTGTGATGCATTTTTAGTTGATATTTCAGATTAAAACCCTTATTACAAATGTCGCATTTGAAAGAACGTTCTTCCCTATGAGTTGTTGTTTTATGCCTTTTCAATATGCCTATTGATTTAAAACTCTTATTACAAATGTCGCATTTGCAACGACGTTTTTCACTATGAGTTTCTTGATGGCTTTTCGCGTGGTATATCGATTTAAAACTCTTATTGCAAATATTGCATTTGAAGGGGCGGTCTTCACTATGAGTTTTTTGATGGTTTCTCACGTGGTTTTTCGATTTGAAACTCTTATTGCAAATATGACATTTAAAAGGACGATCTTCACTATGCACTAGTTTATGACTTAACAAAATACCGTTAAGCTTAAATTCTTTTCCACATATTTCGCAGGCATGAGTTCTGTGTATTCTCTTGTGTCTTTCTAAATGGCCCTTACTAACGCCCTTACCGCAAATGTCGCAAAACACGTTTTTCCGTTTGATATTAGATTTTTTACCATTTCTTGGAGATAAATTCACTCGATTCCCAGATGGGTGCATACGTAAATTTTTGTAAGAGATTTCGTTTTCATTTACACTTTTGTGTTCTTTCATGTGTCTCAGCAAAAGAAATTGCCACAAAAACTTCTTATTGCAGGTTGTGCAGCGAAATGGTTTTTTACCAATATGACAGAACAGATGTGTTTGAAATATTGTCTTATTTGCAAAAAGCAGTTTACAAAAATAACACGAAAATATTTGTTTAGAATGAGATGAAAACATAATCCTGAAGTATTTCCTTTTAATCTTATTATGAAGTTTTTTGCATTTTCTATTGGAAGGAACGTATTTCTTCGTTTTCATTTTATATTTATAACGTTGTTGCGTTTGTGAATTGTGCTGAAAAAAGTATTCCTGAATTTGCTCTTCCTCCTCCACTGAAAGAGTAAAAATAATATAATAAATTACCTATAATATTTTAATAAATAAAACATAATTGCAATATTAAGATATTAGTGCTGTAGTTATATTATTTCTCAAGTATATCTATGTTTTTCATTAAAAAGCAAAGCATCATTTGTTGTTTACACAAAAAATATGACATTTACCATTTTACAATCATAAAGTAATCGATTCAGCTTTAATTTCTTTATCGGACATTTAAATGAGTGTGAAATATTAAATTTTTTTATTTTATCTGTTTTTACTTATGTACTTTGTTTCAGTTGTTATAACGAAAACGTAGGAAAAATTGTGTGATTTTAGAGAGGGAAAAAGTCATTAGAATAAAGGAAAGAGTACCACACCAAAACTGAATCGTTAAATCACTAGTCATAAGTTGTAATTTAATGATTCTAATTATTCAAACGTAGTTTTTTAAGTTCAAATTTATATTAATAAGATGTAAGTAGTTACTTGTAATTCTCAAATATCTAATCCCAGTTAAATGTATGACAGTTGAAACTTGAATGCAGTTCTTCAGCTGCCCCCTGAATAATACTACATCAAAAGGTCTGGACTAAGTAACATGTTACTTACTTTGGATCTTCATTTCACTCTTGTTACTGTTTTCGTCCGGAGTGCAAAATTCATTGTTGACAGGCTAAACAATATGCAAAGAATCACTTATAATATATAAACTAGTAACGAGTTACTCAACTCTTCCAGCAAAATTTTAAAATTTAATGGTTCTGTCTGGAATAAAATGTTTTTCAAATGAAATTTTTAACTATTATAGAAATGCAAAGAACTAAATTTTAAAAGTAGGAATGAGTTTTAAATAAAAAATTACAATTGCTAATAACGAGTAAAATCATCGTTAAGTTCGACCCTGCTGGATATACACACGACCCTTATTATCTACCCACTTTCTTGATTTTTAATCACAAAAATTTAATAGCGTCAATTTCGTCCAATATCAATATTTAAATACCAGTGTAAATTGCCAGAAATGTAGACAATTAAAAATAAAATAAATCTGGTATTATGTACTATGCATAACAAAATAAAAAAAACAAAATAAAAATCAATTTTCACTATCTGATTATTTGCAACATTTCAGATTCTACACCAAAAACATGGCAAAAAATCGCGTGAATATGTCTGTGTTAGCATGTACTGTACATTGGCGTGTATTTAATTTAATATTTCATCATGAATTCAAGATTAAGAAACGAAATTTAGTACCATGCGTTGAGTACAGTATAAGGAGCATTAATGCTATTAAATCTTGGTAAATAAACGTCCAGGAATGAAGATATAAAAATGGTAACGTGTAAAATCTCGACTGGTATCATAGTTAATGAAGATTTCATGTGAGTAGCATTTATAATCTTTTGTGAAATTCATTTCTACAATTAAAATTAAACATTTCTTCATTTTATAATAATTAAAATTATAAAGACATTTTATAACATATGACGGCACAAACAATTTTATTTATTTATTATGATTAGCAACATAAATGTTATTTTTTAAATAAAATCTGTTAACAGCCAGGAAACTTACGCAACTCGTTGTTAGAATTTTTCTTATGTAAAACATATTTTTAATTAGATACAAAGCATAATTTCATTCAAAGCATAATTTCATATTAGTGATATTAAACTACGTTTTCAACCATTCAGAAAGCTAATTTAATATTAAAATTTCACTGTAAAATATTTGGAAATTTGTATTACTTACCATTACCTGTTCGTTATCATCTGGTACATGAACAACTTGTTTACAATCTTCAGTCTTTACTTCAATCTTTAATTTTTTCAAATCAACTTTACATTCTGATTTTATACCGTGTTTTACATCACAATTCTCTGTTACTTCTTTCTTGATATCTGTAGTGGAATTTACAAAGTTTTTGTCTTAAAGGATACTAAGAAAAGCTTGAAATATAAAATAAAACTGAGCATATTTTCATTAATTAATATAACGATATTAAATTAGATGTTTCACTACATCATTTATTTCTGATTACAAACCGAAAAGTAATGATCACGGCGAATTGGTGAAATAAATTATAATAAATATGATTAAAAACTTAATTTCGTTATTAAAATATACCAGCAACGAGTGCTTAATTTTTCTGGAAACATATAAAATTACTTGTGGCGCCATTTTTTATCATATTTTCTTAAAAATATCTTTTATCAAAATGATTAATTTTATAAGTTCTATAAAAAAAAATTGTAAATGAGAAAATGAGTAAACGCGTCGTTAAGTCTGAAGTTTATAAATAAAAATATTCGGGGGTGATTATTCTTTGACCGTCTTTCCTTGTGTTATAGGCTATATAACAGCCGAGAAAATAAAACTTAGTTAAAGTGTCAAATAACCACCAATTTAAAAATCTTCAATTAAAAATTTACAATCGTTACTTTTTACATTTTATTTTCGTAGATGTTGTAAAATATCACAAAGAAGTTATGTTAATCAATAAAAGTTCCATGTTCTGGTGTGTTTTTCATTTCTGGACGTTCTGACACTGCATTTGAACAAAAATAAAAAATATCTTACAAAATTTAGACATCTGTACTATGTACTGTACAGTGAATTACGTATCTGTGTGTCACTCCTTCACACTTCGTTTCGACGCAACCAATGTATGTTTAGACTAAGTGTACAGAGATTTATTTTCATGGCACTATGAGTCAAGAAATATCCTGTCCTCATGGCATTCCAACATTTCTTAGAAGCACATATTGCTGAGTTCATAGGTCAACAGATAACATGTTTTAAATTAAATACATTAAAAATATGATTATAAATTGCAGTCCGACATTGTGACGATGTCATAATAAATAATTGCTCGTTTCACTGAAATTTAGACTTTTCTCTGTTGTAAGATTCTGATTAATTGAATTAACAATTTTAAATCTATCAACTGAATTAAATGTTATTGATTATATTAATTAATTTAATTTAATTAACTTCTACTAAAATACTTATTCACTGTACACAACGAATTCGCATCGTTTTTGAAATGTTTTCATTTCCATTTACATGAATAAGAATTTCTTTAACTATTATTCTTATTCTTATTAAAATCATTAAACCTCTTACCTCTTTCGACTTTATAATCAGAATGAGTCCAAATAGTGAATCCGTTTGTGTTGTTTGTGTAAATTGGTTCTCCTTCAATATTTATCTTAAATAATAAAAGATTACGTTATATTATTACACAGAGTTATCTTTATAGTAAAACAAATGAAAAAATTATTTAAACTGGAGTATAAAAGTACGCTTACTGAATAAATTTTATTAAAAAAATATGGCCTACTAACTACTTTTAATGGTAGTGCCTGTCATCTATTTAACACATTAAAAAAAATTTTGAATTCAAACAATGTGACTTCCGGTTTGCAGCAGATAAACGTAGGGGAGATCGGGGCAAGATCGGCATGTTAAGCTTTACTTAAATTTTGTGTAATAAATACTGCTGTAAACTGAAAAAAAAGCTTTGCATATTGTCTATTGGAATGTTACCTTACTATAGAACTGGTTAAAATCAGTTTGGAAATAAAAATAATTAAAATAATTACAACTTTACAAGAAGAGAGAAATTGACGAAGTTGCCCCGGGTATAGGGGCAAGATCGGCAACTTCTCTCTTTTTGTAAAGTTGTAATTATTTTAATTATTTTTATTAAAGTTGCCCCTGGTATAGGGGCAACAGTAATGGGGCAAGATAGGCACGTATATAAAATTATGTTATTAACAATGTATAAGTTGGAATTCACTATTAAAACAAAGAAATACAAATCCAACACCCATTTAATATTATTACAACGAAATGCAAGTTCAAAGACATATATACATGAATAACAAATGCAAACATGTTTTCATTTATCATCTGTTTGATTTTTATCCTTTGCTTCTAATGTGGCTTTATGTTGCCGATCTTACCCCGCTAGTCATGATTTCGAAACATTAAGTACAACCCTGAGAACAGAATGCCAAGCCACGATCTGGCCACGTGAATAAGTTGAAGTTACATCCTTCTAACAGGAAAAGTAACTTTCGTTATCATGGAATTATAACAAAACCTGCCAATTCAATATAAATGGAAAAAAAATATTATATGGAATTGAACGAAAATGAAAATTTGCTTGATAATTCAACTACGCTTGTTGGAGAACAATAAAAACACTACACTCAACAAGCCACCAATAAAACTCAACTGCCTAACCTATAACCAAAGTCTCCTTTTAATTTGTTTTTTAAAAAAAGCGCTTGACAAACTTGCCCCGCATGCCGAAGTTGCCCCGATCTCCCCTATACAGTTCATCGGAGCCTCTTGCCTAATTAAAAGAATCTGAATATATAAATAATTATTTATTAAGAAACGGACTGAAATTTAAAAATAGACTTATAAATTTTCACTTTGTTTAGTACTAGCAGACTCCGCCACGCGTTGTTGTGGCTCAAAATGTATCTATTATAAATGTATAACACTTCCCCCGTGGGGGGAATTTTTCGAAAAATTTCTTCTTACTGTACATTCTGTTGACGTAGTTTATTAAAACGCAATCAAAAACCCAAAAACCCGCATCTAAAATAGTATAATAGAAGCCAAGTTATTCACGCTAAGCCTTAATCCTGTCTCCTCGCAGTGGGGGAAATTTCGATATGTATATTACCGGTATATAAAAATACGTGCGTATTCGAATGCAGCGTTGTGTCAAAATTTCAAACGAATCTGTAGGAACAAACAAATATTACATTTTTATTCATGTAGATAGATAGAAGATGATCTGCTTTAGTTCATTTTCCAGAAAAGCATAATGCCTCACAGAAAAAGAAAATTTATGGCGTCGTACTCGTAGCGCCATCTGTTGGACATAAAAGCCTTAATTTAGATTATATAGTTTAATTTATATGAATGTTTAACGGAATAATATACAACTTATGTCCACCCTGAAGTTCCATTCTAAATATTGGTGAAAGAATTTTTGAAATCGGATGAGTAGTTTCGGAGATTACCTGCTGCATACAAACTTACTTACATACATACTTACAAACATTACCTCTTTATAATATTAGTATAGAAGTATAGATGTACGACTGTTCGACAGTCCTTTTTTTTTTATTTTGACAATACGGATAGGTGAAAGTCGAGACCAGATATGAAAAACAGGCACAAGGCCCCGATACAAGCAAGAACTTCCGATAAGAATCGTATGTCACGTTATTTCAATTCAGAAAGTTTTCTCTGAAAGAAGTTAGATACGTAAATGTCACGACTCTATAAGTAACACGGGAAGTATAATGTACACACGGACAAGTCACTACTAATTTGATAATAAGAGCATGTATTTTTTAAATTAAATAAAAGAAAAATATAATAAAAAATGCAGCTCGGCATTGTGACAATGTAACAATAAATATTTGCTCGTTGCTTGTCTTTTCTTTTTTGCAATTATAATAAGTTTGAACTACTCTTACTTTCAATTAAACTACAAAATTTCTCTGAATAACGCGTAATTTGTCTGAACAAAAGTATTATGGTATAATAAAAAGTCTAGCAACCAGTTGCGTTACTTACTTGGCTGTTATGGGATTTTATTTTGAAAACCACTTTTTAATTATTAAGTATAATCTATATCTATATATATATATATAAATAGACGTGTGTGTTTCTATATTTCACTTTTCCGCAAAAACTACACATCGCACATGAATGCTGTTGGTATGTGGTAGTAGCCTCAACTCTCCATTCGTGCACTATGGGTGTTGCGTCTCGATAGCTATAAGGGTGCTGGAGATATGAGGCTGAAAGTGGTTAAAAGTGGTTTTCTATTTCGAATGTTATGTTCGAATTTAATTCGAACAATATTCGAATTTGAATTCGAAAATAAAATTCGAATATCGGTTCGATTATAGAACGATTGTAAACGTTCCAGAAACGTTCAAAATAGTTCGTTTGACTAAACGTGAACAGGAGACGTTCAGAAATAGAATCGGGACCAGGTCTCTAATTAGACTGGAAACGGGGGACCTAATTCTTGCATTCTCTGAAAGCGGATAAGATTGGCTATAATGTAATTATCTTAAAAAGAATGATAAGATTCGAATATAAATTTCCAATGGATACGTCGTATTATAGAATACGGAACAGTTTCAACGGATAAAGTATTTGAATTGCGTAAAGCAGCCATATTACATGTATTCTCGAATGCCTTTACAGAGCAGCAACCTTGCAGTTGAGCTTGTGCAGTGGCGTAGCGTGGGTGTCAGCCGCCCGGAGCGGAGGAAAATTTTGCCGCCCACTTACTTAGGTATCTCAATTTAAAAGAAAAAAAATTCAGTTTCGTCACAGAATATGTAATAAAAAAATTCCGTGGTAGTGTTGTCACCTTTTTAAAATCGCTGACCCGGACGGCAGGTGAGGTTTGTTCGAACAGAAGTTCCGAACGCATGCGTATATCATTTTGCAACGCGAAGAATAAATTGCAGTGCATGCCGGTTCTAAATCAGTTACAGTTAGCGACTAGGGAGACTCGAATACGAGTAATTAAAGTGACCTAGCTATATTGGATATTGGAGGTGTATACGATTACGAATGAATCGTACAAGAAAAAAAGGGGGTCGACAGGTCGTGCACAATACCATGGACTATCCAGGTGGTAATACTATTCCGTGCTCATTTCAATCGGTCCGAGTCGTAGGTGGACGAAAATATGAAATAAAATGGTTCAAATTCTTACAAGATATTATTATTATTTATTGTGAAATTTTGCAGCCCCCTAAAATGTGCCGCCCGGGGCGGGCGCGCCTCCCCACGCTACGCTACTGAGCTGGTCTAACGCTTTCAATGATTTTATCCAGGTCTGGCACAGCTTCCCTATCATCAAATGTCACCTCACCCCTCTGCAAATGACTACCTCTATCTCTCCATCCTCTAGACCAGTGTTTCTTAACAGGGGGGACTCGGCCCCCTAGGGGTCCATAAGAAGTTTGTCGGGGGCCGCCAAATTATGCAGAATTTTCTTTCAGAATATAATAAAAACAAAATTGATATATAACCGAATATCGTATTGAAAAGTGAAATAAGAAAGTTAAAGTTTTCGTATTTAGTTTTGTTTATTTATTTCTTCCTACATACATCTTTGTTAGTACAGAAGAAATAAATGCAAATATATTACTTACACAGCAGTATTTACTTCTTTTATTCCAAAGTAATTCTAAGAAACTATTAATGCTTGGAATTCCAAATACAAATTTGTGTAGAATTTGTATCTGGAATTCCAACATTGCTGCTGAAAACTATGAATAGCAGCAATGCAAAATTTGCTACCGTTTTCAGCAGCAATGCTAAATTTACTGCCTTTCGCCAGTACATATTTTCGAATATTTTTTGTTTTTTCTATGAATTTTAAATATTTCTTATTTTATTCTTTGTTAAAAATTAATGAGTTTTTATGTTTGTTTGTCTTGTTTGAATGTTATTTAAATAGATAATAAAATAATAAAGTTATGCTTTACATTTATTATATAAAAAATAAAGCAATAATGAAAAATCAATTTATTATAGATAATTTAACAAATATAAATTATTATTTAAAAAAGGGTATCACAAAAAAGTTATGAAATGTTTGGTGGACCGCGAGTATAAAAAGGTTAATAACCACTGCTCTACACCAGTGTTTTTCAACCGGGCGATATCGCTCCCATGTAGGCGTTTTTCCATCTTGAGGGGGCGATTAGTAACCATTTATATTTTGGGGGAAGAAAAACAATTTTTTGGGCGATATAGTGATTAGATATTTAAAACATTATATTATTTAAGAATAATTAGATATTTTATTCGTTGTATCGTACAATAATTGAACAAATAACATTATACTAGTCACTAATCTATTCAATGCAGTACAAATTTGGCGTTAGCCTTGGCCCTCGGTATCGGAATTTTGAAGCGAAGGGGGCGAAACTATGTAACGGTTTTACTGAAGGAGGCGACGATTCGGTAGAAGTTCAGAAACACTGCTCTAGACCTTTCACAACGAAACTTTAGTAGCATCAATGCCCCATATATGCTAGCTTCTATGCGGAATTTCATTCCTTTATCTTCATCCTGTCCTAAGATATTAAGCGAAATAGACATCAACACACACACACATTTATATATACGAAATCAGTTTGGGTTTTTGGGTTCAAAAAGCCTCAAAACGTGGAGATTTGGAAAAAAAATAGGAGGGTCAAATCTGACACAATTGAGTTACTTTTCCTTGTTATGAAGTTATAACAACAGACAATGTAAAACGTACAATTGTGGACAACGTAACTTCATATAATAGCAACAGATAAATGCCAGTCGGCTATAATATATACACAACAATATACGAGTAACAATAACAATGTACGAGAGGTGTTCAAAAAGTATCGAAAATTTAGTCGGCAAAAATACATTTATTGATTTTGAGGGACAAAACTCTAATCCCTTTCAAAATAGTCTTCTTGGTAATGTATACACTTCTCCCAGCATTTTTGCCATTGCGGGAAATACTGCTGAAACGCATCTTTTGGAATGGCCATCAGCCGGTCCGTCGCATTCCGCACGATGTCTTCACTCGACTCAATTCGTGTTCGTTTCAGCGGCATTTTCATCTTGAAAAATTGTCAAAACTCACACGGAGCCATGTCGGGAAAGTACGGAGCTTGATGAACCACAGGAATGTTGTGTTTCGCAACGAAAGTTTGAATCAGATGCGCGGAATGAGCGGATGCGTTATTACGATGAAGTTGCCAAGTTTTGGTCGACCACAGATCCGGTCGTTTGCGTCACACAGCATCAGAAAGACGACGAAGGACCTCCTGGTAGTACTCCTTTGCGATAATTTGGCCTTGTGGTGCGTACTCACGATGCACCGCCCCACGAAAGTCGAAAAAACTGTCAACATGACTCGACATTGCTGCGGACCTGCCGCGTATTTTTTCGCCGCGGGAATCGTTTCCGAATGCCTGTTGAATTTTCTGAATGGTTTCCGCTTGGGTATCGCCAAGCTTTTGGCAAAATTAAATGCAATATCGCTGCACACGTTGTTCAGTCATTTTTCAACTTACTGGAATCTGACGAGCGCTCACTAGACGTCCACACTCAGGCCGACTGCCTGCGACTAACGCTTCCTGCGGGCAAGAAAAAATTCAAGACAATGCATGACTATCCCCCTAACATCTCCACCGAAGGAGGCCTCCCGCGCGTCATTGGTTTACGCGAGAAAAATAAAAGTCTGATACTTTTTATACATTTTTCGTACAAGTAAAACATTTTAAAGACAGTACGACAATTAAATTCCGTCAGTAAAAAAGGGTTATCCATTTTAAAACGAAGACCGTGGCCAAGACGTCAAATTTATATATAGTAAAGAGCCTAAATGAGTTTCACTTAAAATCAAAAATAACGTAGCTGAGTTTAAAGCTCGTGGGGGTCATTATTTATTTAAATGTACTGTTTTATAAATATATATTTTTCTATTTCCCACCTTATATTTTAGCATTTCAATTGTGTTTCTCGTCCTAAAAGTAACACCGCGATCTTACGATAAAGTACTTTACACTCACCTCTAATGGTTCTGACTTAATTGTTTCATAAAACTTCACATCTGTGTTAAATTCTTTCTCGAAATTCTTTAAATCAACTTCGAAGTTTTCTTCGATTCGTTCGATTGTAAAATCCGAATAATTAGTTTCTAACTCTTCTTTTATCTTCATTTTCTCTATTTGCGATATTCTCTTATGTCAACAATCTGTATTCAATGAAAAAATTAATTAATTAATAAATGTTCATTCGAAATTTAAAGCAAGCAATAAGGAAAGACGAGTAAACTCGTTACTATTGTTTCCGTTGTAACAGTAAACAAGGGTGCACCCTCAAGGTTAACTGAAGTGATTCAAGTGGTAACACGTTAGCTTCCGGCGCACATAGGAAAAAAACGGAAAAATTCGAAGACGAAGAGAAATATCTCTGATTTAAAAAATAATTGTGAAAACCTTAAGAAATGAACTATATAAAAACTTAAAAAAATTCCAGTAAAGTCGTGATTAAGTCCGTCATGGCGCGTTTCTATCAGCGAATAACCGTTCTTCTGGTAGTAACGTAAAAATAAAATCACGTAATGTTTTAATGGCAGAAAGAACGATGCAGTTACTGAGATGACTGACATTAGAATAAAGACGATAAGATAACAAATTTAAGACAAATTCTACACAAATAATCACATATAATTTATTTCAAAGGAAAAAACAAACGAATCTTAGTCGAAATAGAATTATTTATCGACAGATCTTGATCGAAGTATAAGCGTATTTTGTACACCAGTTCTTTTTTGATCCAAGAAAATATCTCTAATTTAAAATATTCGACAAAATTTTTTAGTCAAATAAAGCAAGCCATAGAAAACAAAATTTGTAAACACGTCGATAACGTCAGTATCGGTATCGTTCGCCATCTTGAATACTGTACGCACGCGCCGAAATGCAATTAGATTGCCGCTTGTGTGGTTGTGCAGCGCGTCACCGCTTTTCGTTGCCGCGCCACGAGTGAATCCACCTTAATGGAGATACATATGACTCCCAATAACTCTACGTTAAATCTTCGATATTTAATAGCATCAATGACCCTAATGAAGTGGAAAAGACTTAGAGTAGACCCAGAAAGAGGTGGATGAACAAAATAGCTGAAGACCTAAGAAAAAGGACTCACAATGTAACAACGGAAGACCTAAGAAAAAGGACTCACAATGTAACAACGGTGTTTGTCAGACGAGTGATAAAAACGAGGTGGGTTCTAGGAACAATATTTATTCATCGTATATTACGTGGGTTTCGTAGCTACGAACTATTACGTGATTTGGTGACGCGCTACCTGTTGACTTCTATTAACTTTGATTGTGCACCACCTTTTTTACTGCTACAACGAAAAGAAAAACACTGAGTTTACTTGCCTGTTATCGTTAGGGTTCTTTCGTACTATGGACGACTGCTTCGACTGGTCCGACTCCAAGACGTGTTGCCATGGCAACAGCAGTGGGTCGACGGAGGGGTCGTTTCAATAGGACAACTTTAAATTCATGAGTACGAGGGAAAATGTTACGATTTTGAAGTGAAAAAAGTCAGCCAAACTCTAAAGGATCCACCATGCCTGCATATAAAAACTGTCAAACAAACGTTAGTAAGACAGTTGGCTTTAAAATCCTTTATTACGTTATTAAATTTAGATTTATTTAATTCTTTTTTACAACTTATTCGTTATGATTTGCGTGACTTCACTTGTGTAATGAACTGGGCTCAGATTTCAGACCTGTAGAATCCTGCTCTAAACCTTTTGTTAGTCTGTTTTTTTTTTTTTTAAATCTGATAATAAAGTGAGAATCGTAAATTTTTCTACCAAAGGATCTATTAACAGTAGTCACGTGATTTTTTGAATTAAAATACAGTATGATTAAAAATGCAGTTAATATAAAGGATTTTATACCTGAATTACTATGAATAATTAAAAATAATACAATTGAGTCGATTGCCCTAATGGAATCGATAAAACAGACAAATAAACAGGACAAATTTGAATTAGGGGATCCCACGTGAAGTGTTGACTGCAGACATTTTCCTTCGAGGATTGTGGGGAGGGGAGGAGTTGACCTTCAGTAGACGTCCGTTTATTTCATTAAATTTTCTACAGTTTATGCATTTTATTTTATTTATTTCAAAATTTCTTGTTTTGTTTCTACTTATTGTATTTATTATTCGTCGGCGAGAATTATCACACAAACTTACGGAAATTATGTTACAAATATTCATTTTTTACAATACAATTTAATTAAAATTATTAAATAAAATTTAATTTTTTTATTGATTTAAGAATGAAAGATGGAGAATTTAGTTTTGGTGAGAGTGTGAAGTTTTTCACTATTAAAATAAGGTAAATTCATAAAAATATTTGCTAGTACTTTGTTTCATTATAATATGACACTTTCTACGAAATCCTGGACAAAATTAATAGGTAACCCAAACAATGAATAAAAACGGGACGGGTGGCAACACTAGAAGTGGGAAATAGAGAAACATATATTTTTATACAGTATATATTTGTATAAATAATTGCCCCACGAACTTTAAACTGAGCTACGTAATTTTTGATTTTAAGTAAAAGTCTTTTCGGCTCTTTAGAATGATATTTGACGTTTTAACCACGGTGTTCGTTTTAAAAAGGGAACTTTTATAGTTTCGGAGTACGGTTGTTTGAAAGATTTTCTTCTATAAGGTGAATCGATTCTAGAATAACTTGACTCGAGCATTTCCAAAACAATTGGGTATAAATTTTGGGTATAATCGATATAAAATATGCTGTAAACAAACTATTGTAGGTATACTTACTGAGTGTGTACCGTTGCAGACGCCATTGCTTAATTAAGCTTGTTTTTGTCGCGGGGTGGCACATCGTTCGACGGACGCGTACGAAGCGTGTCACGTGACATTTGTGGGTACTGTTCGGTCACGTGACTACTCATCTCTGACCCGTTTCCTGATGACTTTTTTTTTTTTGCGAAAAATTCGCTGATCTTTGGAAACATCTCGTGATAGATCATAATATACTATATTATTTTTATTGTAATTAAAAACGATTTATTATTATTATTAACTGTTTGAAACAACATAGGTAAAACCACTCGCTAATGACATTAATTCTATCATAATAAGCTTAACAAACTTAAGCAATGGAATTTTGAACGGTGTACACAATGTAAGTATACCTACAATTTTTTTGTTCATAGCATATTTGATATGAATTATTTCCAAAAATTTATATGTGTTTTGGAAATGTTTGAGTCAAGTTGATCTAAAGTCGATTATTTTTATGGAAGAAAGCCTTTCAAACAGTCGTGCATCCTTAACTATGTAGACAAGTGCCTAAAGCAGGGGTGGCCAACCTTTTTAGCAGACGGGCCGAATTTCAGAAATAATATTTCCTGCCGGGCCACGCACCTAAATTTTTTTTTTGTTAATTAAAGTAAACAAGCAAGCGTGCTACAGCTTCAACCACATCGTTGCTTTCCAGTAGGTGAGATCGTAGTCAAACACTTGCCTGGTTTAATGTAAAAAGAAACAGAAAAAATAGGTATATTTATTTTTTTTGAAGAAAATAAAACATAACCGAGAATCATTTATTTAATAACCGAGAAATATATCTATTAGACAATTTTAAAATATTTAAAAGTGAGACATCTCACTTTGTTTTACAGAACTAAATGCATCAAAATTGATCTCGACTGATGTTGTCGCTACATGCAAACAGTTTTCCAAGTGAACATCAGTAATTTGTGTTCTCACTTGTGATTTGATGTACTTTTTGCGACTAAAAAGTTGTTCACATGCATAAGTGTTTCCAAATAGCGAAACCATCGACAGAGCATGTTTGTAAAACGCAGGATATTTATCCTTGTACAAATATATTTTATAGAGCTCTTCCAAACCTTCTTAATTAACGCTTCTAATGTTCATTTGGTGATATGTACAATAAAGTTAACATTTATGTTCATTTGACCTAGCTCCGCGGGCCACAACACGACTCCCGACGGGCTACATGCGGCCCGCGAGCCTCATGTTGGCCACCCCTGGCCTAAAGGATAACCAGAAACGTTTGCTTTTTCTGTGTTTTGGGTTTAATTTATGACGTATTTTATTAAAAATAATGATTATTCAAGCATTTGCGAATAACACTGTAAAGAAACAGACGATTTTAATCCAGAAATTATTTAATTATACAATTTTTTTCAAGTTATGTGTAGTGTCTATTGAATTTTTATATATTTGTGTTCATAATGGCTTATCGTAATATTGTAGAAGTAAATTTGTTCTTTTACGGCATCTTCTGCCATCAACAGCATAACACGTTTGTAAGTCTCTAACAATAATTTCCCAAGCTGCTTTTGGATTTATATAAACCACTTGTTAAGGCAATAAATAAAGCATTATCTTTTCTCTTCTTTTAATACTTAACTTTAATAACTAAGAAAACTTACTTACAACTTTACATTCCACGTGCAAACTTAAAACTAACAGGTGGAAACTCGTCTACTAACAACTTTTTTAAACCTCTGTAAATGGCCCTTTGACGTAAGTAGCTTATCGCTAATGTCACATCGTAAAGTTTTCCCATTAGATACTTTACAATTTTTTGATAATGATAGCGAACAAAGTTTTGTGTGATTAATTTCACTTTGTTTTCAGTTTTGTGTTCTTTCGTGTGTCTTTTCAATAGAAATTGCCAGGAAAATTTCTGATTGCAGATTGTGCAGCAAAATGGTTTTTTTAATTTTTAATTGGGGCCGGAGACTAAAGAAAACAATAATTTAGAAAAAAATGTTTAATTAAATCTTATTAAACATTTCACAAATTTTCATTTTTGTATCGAAGTCTTTAAATAATTATTGTATGATATAACGAATAGAATATCTACTTATTCTTACTATAATGTTTTACTATATCGCCCCAGAAAATTGTCTTACACTCCCCAAAATATAAATTGTTGCTAATCGCCACCTCAACAAGAAAAAACGCCCACTGCGGGGCGATATCGTTCCCGTTAAGAAACACTGGTATATACAGTAGACTCCCCTATACAACGGGTTCCTATAGTTACGATTCCCATAAAACTGCGAAAAAATTGCGACGGTATCCGTAAAAAACGGTAAAAACTCCTATAATTACGTAAAACGTCATCGGGCAGCGGAACTTCTTTTTGCGTCGTCAAGTGTCACGTTACGGAAAGATTACTATCGTCTGTATAGTATTATATATAAATTATATATAAATTAGGTACTGTATATATAATTATATATTAACTTAATTTATTGTAACTTTATTATAATTATATATATACTTTCCGCCGTCTAGCGCCACGCTACGGAGAGTTTAGGCTAACTATCGTCTGTACAGTATGTAAATTAGGTACCGTAAGTCTAATACAGTACTGTAATTTTATACATTTCTTGTGAAAGAAACATTTCTTATTCAACGGCGATTAAAATTATTTATATTAATGATGTCTCCAAAGTTCAACGAAGTTTTCGCAGAAAAATAAGTTATTAGAAATCGGCCGCTGTTTGCTGAGCTGTTCCGCGACGAAAACAAGCTTGAGCAATGGCGATGTCGAATGGTGCACACTCGGTAAGTAATCCTACAATTTTTTGTTTATAGCGTAGTTTATACGAATTATTCCCTCCCAAAAAATATACGTATTTTGGAAATGTTGAGTCGAATTAGTCTAGAATCGATTAATTTTATGGAAGAAAACCTTTCAATCAGCCGTAGTCCGTAAACTTCACACGTGTCGGGCTGTGATTGGAAAGACTCGTAAAAAATCGGATTCCTAAAGAATGGAACGTATCTATGATCTTATAGGGGGGTCGACTGTATTTCAAACTGTTTCAGTTGGTAGTTTGAGTATTTCTGCTTTTATGTGCATGATGAATTAGAGATTAAACAATGAGTTTTTATTTCATACCGACCGATGGGTTGGTCAGATCCAAAACGGTTGCGGCCACATATTGAGGAAGGTTACAACAAATTAATAAACACTGCAATTTCTAATCAAAATTTGTTGTAAAGTAGCAGTTGACTACATCAAAATAATTGAGAAGTTGCGGCCGAAGTTTTCATCAATAAAACGTTAACGTCAAGCGCCGCCATCTTGTAATCCTAGAAATTTGACAATGACGTTTGGAAAGTGGCGAGTAGAAGTTAGACTTAAACATTTGCTTTCTCTGTGTTTTGGGTTAAATTTACGACGTAATTTATTAAAAATAATCATCATTCAATCATTTTTGAATGACGATGTAAAGAAATAGAATATATTTTAATCCAGAAATTATTTAGTTATTCAATTTTTTGGAAGTGATATATAGTGCCTGTTGAATTTTTATATATTTGTGTTGATAACAGTTTATCGTAATACTGTAGAAGTAAATTTGTTCTTTTATGGCATTTTTTGCCATCAACAACATAACACGTTTGTAAATTTCTAAAAATAATTTTTTAAGCTGCTTTCGGATTTATATAAACCACAACTTTTCTCTGGGCTTTCACTACGCTAAATTACTTTATAAATAACATAGACTGATTTTGTTACAGATCTATTTCATCAGTAATAGCTTTTTTAATGGACAAGATGAAAAGTGAAGACTCTCGTATATAAAATCACAGAATACTGATTTGTAATTAATAAGTGTGTAATGACTTTTATATTACTTTATCGACTGTTATATATAATAGAGGGAAAGTACGACGATCGGTCACAAAATGACTCCCCAAGATTGTAAAAGCCTTACTGTCCTTAAATTCTAATGTTATTGTTAATTGTCTACTTGGACTTTACTTATTAATAGGACTTAATACTGGTGTTTAAAGATTGGCACAGCAATGAGAGTTAGTT